TCGGTAAGAATGAGTTGGAAGAAGATTGGTGAATGCAAGTAGATGAGGAAAAAATTGGGTATTAGTTGTTCACGAAAAGAATTGGGTATATAAATCGTAATTTCGATAAATAAAAGTCCCAGAACGTAATTTTGTAACTCTATAGGCCTAAACCTTAAATAAAGACAATTTACTTTTCAGTTCCAGTTTTCGTCGGAAGAAAAAAACTGATAAACCCTAATTCCTAAAATCCCAAATTTCCACTCTCGCCGTTAATAATTTGATTGCTTCAATCTTCATTCTTCTGATTACCGTATTGCTTGAAGAAGATCCTCCATGGATAATAATAATAGCTCAGTTTTCTTCCAGACGGATTGTGGTTCGATAGTTTCACAGATTAAGGATCAGGAGGAGCAGATTCGACTAAAAAGAAGGTTTCTTTTCATTTTTATCTTCTTCTCCTTTTTCCCCAGATTCAATTTTGAAACGAAAGTTTGAGATTTTGGTTATATCTGTGTCTGGTTTCAAGAAAGCTTCAACCTTTAATGTTCTTGGCAAAAGTTTCAGACTTTGTTTTGTCTTTTGATGTCAATGGTACACTCACTGAAACTTTGAAACTTGTTAGGTGGCTGTTGGGTTGTGATATGTCTGAATCCGAGAATCATACTGACGAGTGAGTTTGGTTACTTGGTTTCCATTTGTTATGTGCTTGGTTTAGCTGAGTATCTAACTATGAGCTCTGTTTTATTTGTTTGACAGATTCCTCCCTGAATCTTTGCTCAGGGAAGATGACGTAGGTCTCTCTCACTCACCATCTCTTTATACATATATGCGTGTTCACAGTTATATTCAATGAGTTTTTTTCTTCCGTTTTCCCTTTGTTGTGATTCCAGATATTCTACGAGACGGTCAAGTCGCGTGTAGAAGAAGCATTTGGATTACGGGAAAATGAAGAAGTACTTGATGCTGTGCAACAAAATGAGTCGAAGCTCTGCAGTAACGACGTTGTTAGACAGCTTGACATGAATCTTGATTCTTTGACGAATAACGGTCTTTATCTTGTTGCAATGATAGTAACTGGAGGCTCTACTTTATTTGAGAAGACTCGATGGAGAATGAAAGAGGTTATTAAAGAATCAATCAACAGAGATTTCAAAAAGAAGAAGGAAGATGATATTGGAAAGGCAGACATTGTTAAGCAGCTGCATCAAGTTCTTAGTGATCCAGGAAATTTCCGGAGAGATTGCGTGATGAATTTGAACACACCCACTTGTCAGTCCCATCGTGACGCTGCAATGAAGATACTTAGTGAGCTAGATAAACTGTCGACTCAGACCCTACTTGCTATGAAAAGGAAACTTAAAGGTTCAAGAACGGTACCTCGGTTGAAAACCAGTAGATGTGGTCAGAGCCGAAGTAATCTGATAAACCAAGTGAGGCAAGCTAGTGAGACGATGCTCTCAGAACTTTCTGCAGGGGATAAACTACAGGAGCAATTGGCTAAAGCGATGTCTTTAGTAGATTTATCACTTAAGCTAAGTCATGGCTACAAAACTACCGCTGCCTCAGATTTTTTCCAGTTCTCACCAGAAACAAAGAAATTGCAGAACGAAATAGTGAAAGCAGTCTGGTTACTCGGTAAGAAGGTCAGGTTTCGTGAGCTGAAAAGACTGCATCTTTTATTAGACCAAGAAGCCGAAGTATCAAATGACAGTTTAAGATCAGCGGTCAGAAAAATGTTGATTGAATATCTGTTTGAGTGCAGTGATATGGAGGTTATTCCACAGTCTTTAATGAAAGCTCTTTCGTTGGTCAACAGGAGTACACGGAATGTAGAGCATAAAGTATTTCCAATGGAAGCAATTGAGGAAGAGACAGAGTGTATCTTAAATGTGAGTGCTCAAGTGAAGCAAATATTTTGGCAATGTATTCCACATTGTGAGCTCGATCAGGACTT